TGGGTTCCGCCTAATGTGCGTTGGGTCGAATCTCCCGTCAGGTCATTAATATGTGGCACGAACGCCACAAAGGTGGACATGTTTCAGCAGAGATGAATCCACAGATCAGCACGTGCGTGTACACCAGAGCCAATCAGGATGAGGGTCGCCGCCCTCGTGTGGGCGGGAGGAAGACGGACGAGAACCGCAGCTGTAGCAGGAATGAGCTCTAACGTGGCCGAAAAACTAAAAAGGAGGCGCTCCTGCTGTGCGTCTCACCGGGCGAAAACTGAGACAATCGTCACTGTTTGCGGTGTGGACGTCCGGAGCGACGAGACAATCAGAGAAATAAAGTTTCCACAGTGTTTCAGAGTCTGAGAGGACGCCAGCAGCACGGCCACGTCTCCACAAACTGAAAACCACCTGCAGACGGGAAGCCAAAGGAATGAAAGGTGGAACATAAGGCCCCTCAGTAATGTCGGGTTATTCCAAAAAACGAGGGAAAATAAGAAGAGGCACCAAAAAGTCGAGATATCAAAAATGCAGTCTGTGGTACGAAAGGTCGAATTTTATAAAAAACAAGATGGAAAATTAAAAAAATCATTGAAAAAAGAAAGAGCAGCTACATCATCCGGGACGACGTTCCTGACGGGAAGTGCCCGAGATGCTGCTTCTGCCTCCGACCACGCTTTGTCTTGTTGCACCGCCTGTAGGACACAACAGGAAGTGCACGTCAACATCAACATTACACTCAGCTTTTATCAGTAAATGTAACAATGATCTGCTTCACGTGCCCCCTGTAACTCTGAGGGGAAGAAAAAACTAATCAAGCTGATCGGGAATATTTTCATTTCCCGGCAAAATGTAACGTTAGATCATGTGATCATCTTTAACAGCCAATAGGAGTGTTTCTCTTACAGCAGTGACCCTGCAGATTCCTGGTGTGTGCAAAACTACAAAAACCTCTGTCACCTTTTCTCTTTGTGTACAATGACAATAAAGCGCTGTTCTATTCTATTCTATTAGATGTGGGATGGGGATAAACTCCAGGCTTTCAGAGGTCCAGTTATTGAATGTTAGACGTTTTTTTATTGGAAAATGTCTGCCTCACTTTAAGTGGAATCACGTCAGCGCTGCTGGTCTGTGCTGATAACGTTTTTTACAGCGTGAGGTAAAGCGATGAAGCGGCTGAGCACGTGGAGGCATCACAGGCAGCCTGCTGATGTTTCACCATCACTCACCACCAAAGGAGAAAAAGGAGGTGTTGGTTTCAGCAGGAGCGTATCAGGACTGCAGGTCTGGGCTGCACTTTGAACCTGACAGACTTGTTTGTTTTTTCTTCACAGTTCTGGACGGCTGGTGGTGAAACTCTGCACATTAATGGTTTTATGATGCTTTGCTTCATGACTGAGTGCTGCTGGGGTGTGAGCGCCCCCTGCTGGAGGCTGGAGGGCTGAAAGCCACGATTCGCTGCCTGACACACAAACACCTCCAAACTTTCCTCTGCGGTGATTTCACACACTCTGGAAGCACTCGTGTTTCAGAAACCACAAAAATCATCGTTTACTGATTTAATGGCTCATTACTCACTCGGTGTGTAGCGAGGACCCTGAGGTGATTCGTTCTTTAGGACTGTTACTGAGCCGGAAAGGTGTGTGTGTCTGTGTGTGTGTGTGTACCTGGTGAAGCACATGACCACGGCCACGATGACAGCAATCTGAACAGCTCCGATGATGGCGGCAATGAGGACGTAGTGCAGCTTCTGCCCGCTGGGCACCACGTACAGGATGTTAAAGTCCAGCAGCTGCTCACACTGCTGCCCCCCGTACGCATCCTCACACCTGACACACACACACACACACACACACACACACACACACACACACACACACACACACACACACAGTCAGAGTTACGTGTGGAAGTTTCTCATGTCGAGAACGTTGCTCATGAATAAAAATAAAAGCTCCACACTGACAACAAGAACGTGATGTTTGTGATTGATCATCCTCAGTGACACACAC